CTTTATATAGGAAAAAAAAAAAAACCTCTTTGCTGTTGCTTTGTTACCTACATTGAAATGGTTAGAATGATCCCTAGGAAGGAGGTAATGATTTAATTACTTCAGTAACATTTATGCAACATTACAGAAGCTGCAGGGTAGGGCAGAAGGAAGGGACAGCAGGTGTGTCCCACCTGCGAGGGGAATGAGGTGACCCAAATAGTGGGGTAGGGTAAGTCAGGGACGAGCAGGAAGGGAACTCTCAGGGGTTACCCAGGCCCTGAGCTTGTCAGGGGTGAATCCACAGTGCTGTGGAAGATGGGCTGTGGACCTAAGAGAAGAGTCACAACCAGGTCGGCGCACACAGGAAGGATGTCCAGCCTGAGAGGCAGGTCACACAAGGGTGACAGGAGCCACTCCACCTGCTGATACTCATGCATGGCTGTCCATGTGACAAAATATGGCAGCAGAGAAAGGGGCAAAAAATAAACAATAAAAATAGACAAAGGCTGCCTAAAAGCCAGGCATGGTGGCACATATGGACAATCCCAGCACTCGGGAGGCTGAGGCAGGAGGATTTCCAGCTGGAGGCCATTCTGGGCTACACAGTGAGTTCCAGTGGGGTATTATGTGGCCTAGGAAGGAAGAAAATTCTAACGTGCATCCAGGTGGCTGAATCTTTAAGGTTCAGTCTCAGTGAAGAACCAGTCCCAGTGGGCTGTCGGTTGGCCAATCTGTCCGTACTCCAGGCCAAGGAGTCAGATGCATTCAGACTGAGGAGAGGACAGAGCGTGGTCAGTTTAATGGATGTGGAGTTTCAGTTTTTCAAGGTAAAAGGGCCCGGGGAGATGGGCAGTGGGGATGGTTTCATGACCACGTGAATGTACCTAACGCCAGAGCAGTGGGCATGTACACAGGGTCACGCCGGTCAGTGTTACTACAATCAGAAAGGAAAAAAGCAGGCTGTGTGTGGCAGCCGGCGAGGAAGGGCTGTCCAATCCCAGGGGGCTGTGTCCCTTATCTCGCTCCAGCATCAGGGCGAGGTGGTGAGAGGGGATATGGGTGGAGCCCAGGCAGGAGGGCAGAGGAGATATGAAGTCATACTATCAGCCATCTCAGCGCACTGCAGGGTGAGGCAGGGGGATGACAAGTTGGAGCCCAGCCTGGGCTACTTTGTGACTTAGTGAGACCCTGTATCAAAATAAAAAATTTAACCAGATGTGCATCTGTAATCCCAGCACTCAGGAGACTGAGGGAGGAGAGTCACTGTGAGTTCAAGGCCAGCCTAGGCTACATATTGACTTTCAGAGCAACCTAAATATATAGTGAGACCCTGTCTCAGAACACCAAGTAAATGAGTAAATAAAACAAAATGAAATGAAAAAGAAAAAAGTTTAAATGATTGCAGATGTAGTTCAATGTGAGTTCCTGAGTTCAATCCCCAGTACTGGAAAGAAAGAAAGAAAGAAAGAAAGAAAGAAAGAAAGAAAGAAAGAAAGAGAGAGAGAAAGAGAGAAAGAAAGAGAGAGAGAGAAAGAAAGAGAAACAGAGAAACAGAGAAAGAAAGAGAGAAAGAGAAAGAGAGAGAGAAAAAAGAAAGAAAGAAAGAGAGGGAGAAAGAAAGTCTATTATACCATCATGGATTCTGGTCTCTGCTTTGCTTTCTGTGATCTTGGAGTTGAGTCTGTGATTGATTAGTGATGTCTGTCATGGCCAAAGAAAGAGGGTTGGTTTCCCACCTTAATCCAGATCTGGGGCTTCTGAAATACAAATACCCCTCATGGTAGATTTGGCTGGAAAACTTCCAAGTAAAGTCTGCTTAAAATTTTTAGCCAAGGGAGGGAGGGAGGAAGAAGATAGAAAAGGGGAAAAGGGATGGAAAATAATGAAGATACGAGATTTATATGTATGCACCATTTCCCTAAAATGAATGCAAATATCATATATCTTACATACATACCAATGATAAAATTTTTTTTTAGCCAAACAAAATAAAGAATTAGATCAGTATAGAAATGAACCACTTGCCTGCACCGCAGGGCCAGGACTCAGCCGCCTGCCAACCTCTGCTGTTGTGGAGCCGCACAGGCAGAGGGACACAGGTTGGCTCTGGTTTGTGGGTCACTGCTGTCTACGGGGCATGAGCTCACCAGTCCACTGTGGGCCACTGGGGTCTAACACCTCTAAGTGGCCCGGCGACCCCGGAGTGTGGAGGAGGGGCTGGAAGCCATGCCTGTCAGACTCCAGCCTTCCGTGTGCCTCAGCGGACGAGCCCCAGGACGGAGTCTTCCTGAGATGAGCCACCCCTGCTGGCACCTTGATTTCAAGCTTGTGCCCCCAAAAGTGTGCAGGATTCACTCCTGTTGTTTAACACAGACCCCCAGGAACCTGCTCCCTGGAGACCTGCAGGCTTCCTGGAACCTAAGCCCTCGGCACGTTGGCTGGACAAAGATAAGCAGCCCTATCAGGGTCTTTACCTGGGGGCCTACAGGAAGTGATCCTTTTCCCCGGGCAGCCCCAGGGCCAGACACATAAAAGGGGTGATTGAAAAAGACAGTGAATGTTTAAATGAGAAAAAGTATTACAGTAAAAGACACTGTCATAATGGCAATTACAGTAATTGCCATTAACCCTGCTCTAAATACTCACTTCGAACACACTTATCCCATCATTCTTCCCACTGTCTGAAGCAGTTCTGGAGGTCCCCTTTCATGAGTGTGATCAAATATCCAGGGAATGCTGCTGGCAAGTGCCATCCAGCAGAAAGACAGGTTCATAAAAACATTATGGGGTGTCCTCACCTACCTTATTCACTGCATGTGATACCCTGTGACTTCTGGCTCCTCCCCACACTCAAAATGACCATGAAATGTCAATGCTTTGAATGAATTCAGGACACTGAGGCAGTGAGCAGGGAAGGCAAAGTGTGGGACAGACTCTGAGAGGTTAGGGAAGGGACAGAGAGGAGACGGGGCCATCCCTGGACCTTCCCTTTTCCTGTCTCTGGAGGCCTGGTCACTCAGCGAGTTCTGGTCCTATGTTCTTTCCCCCACCCCTTTCTGTTGTAGTTTGGGGCTTATTACAAGGTGAACAATATAGTACAGGACATATATCTTATAAGATTATTTATAATATTCACCCAAAGAACCATATATAAGAGAGTGCAGGGAATCTGTCACACACCAAAGACCAAAGAATCCAGCTGAGGACCCAGATCCCATGATAATGTCCTGAATGAGTCCAGCTGAAGACCTACAGCCCATCACAATGTCCCCACAAGTCCAGCTGGAGGCCCAGAGCCCATGACAACGTCTCATGCAGGCCTGTTTCACAGATCTGCGCTGGGAAGGCCCAAAGGTCAGTGGTGGAAGCTAGAAAGTCTGTGCCAACGGGATGAAGGATCTGTGCTAGCAGGCTGAGGGATCTGCACTGGAGCCAGGAAGCAACGCTCAAAATAAGAACCAGAGCTCCCCTGAAATGTACCACAGCCATCCTCAGCAACAGTGAGGTCCTGAGCTCCTCCAATGATCAGGACAGCTGAGTTCCCATCAGGAAAGCCAACATAACAAGCTTCTCCAGGAGACTGAGCAGTGCACCTTCTTCCCCTCTGGAGCCAGGAAGTGCTGCTAAAGTGAGGACCAGAGCTCCCCAAAGTGAACTGAAGCCATTCTCAGTGCCAACAAGGTCCTGAGCTCCTTGGAGAGTGAAAGCAGCCAAGTTCATCAGGAAAGCCAGCAAGACGAGCTCCTCCAAGAGAACCAACAGCTCCTAGAGCCTCTCTCTACTTCTAACAGGCTCCCAACAGCTTCTACCAGCTCCCAACAGCCTGTCTTCTCCTTCTCCAGTTCTGCCTCTTATGCTGCTGGCAACGATCCTTAGGTGGGCCTCTGACACCCAGCACCATGCTGACCAGTTCAGCTGGACGTTACAAGTTGACACTAGTTGCCAATCCACCACACCTTCCTTCTTTAAGCACCTGTGGACAATTTTATATCCTACAGCATCACCTGTCTTTGGTTTTTGGGATTTTTTTGTCTTTTTGAGACAGGGTCTGGTTATGCAGTTCAGGCTGAACTTGAGCTCACTTTGTAGCCCAAGCTGGTCTTAAACTCGAAACGATCCTCCTACTTCAGCCTCCAGAGTGCTGGGATTACAGGCGTGCGCCACCATGCCCGGCTCATCACCTGTCTTTGGGATGCTTTGAAACTACAGAGTTCGGCCCACATTAGCCAAGCAGCTACAAACCTTATTAAGCACCTGCTGTATGCAGTGCAGTCTGACAGGTGGAGACACCAGAGACTTTGGGCCTAGGCCAGGGAGAGTGTCACCGGGCTGCGTCCCACTGCCTCATGCCCCAGCCTCCTGGCTTGGGTGAGGACGGAGAGGGCTAGCCAGGCAGTCCCAGCATTTCCACGGCCAGCTGCTAACTGCTTCTGTGCAGTGTCGGATCTCAAACTCCTCTCCACCTGCATCGTTTTCCTTTTCAGAGACAAGGCCTGGCAGGTGAGTTATAAAAACATGACTGATGGTACAACAGTCAAGCTGGCACCAAGCTCCGAGTGTGGATCTAAAATCAGATCGGCCCAATTCAAGTTGTTTAACTTCTGCTTGCCTCAGTTTCCTCATCTGTACAATGGCTATAACAAACCACACTGAGTTGCTGTGGGTTGAGTCGTTAGATTACTCAGCATAGGCAAAGTGCTCATGAGGGTGGCTGGCATCTGGTGAGCCCTATACCTATCTTAGCTACTACAACTAAGAAAGAAACGCACAAGCTGGGCCTGGGGGTGCACACTTCTAATCCCAGCAATCTGGGAAGCTGACGCAGGAAGATCACAAGTTGGAGCCCAGCCTAGGCAATTTACTGATTTAGTGAGACTGTCTCAAAGTTAAAAATGGGTCAGGGATGTAGTTCTGTGTGAAGGCCCTGGTTCAAGATCCAGTATTGAAAAAGAAAAAAGGAAACAAAAGAAAGAAAGTGAGGGAGAGCGAGAGGAAGCAGGAAAGGGCAAGCCTGGGCAGCAGGATAGAAGTGTTTATTGTTTAATATGACACTTCTTTGGGACACTGTCCAACCCACAGTGATGCACCCGACCACCCCCTTTAGCTCCGGGGGCTGTCGTCAGCAGGGTTGGCACAGCTGGGCTCACACGCTGGCTGGGGTGGGCATCCAAGTCCTTCCTTGCAACTGGACAGAAGAGACCCTGGACACGGGTCTACCCTCCTCATGCCCAGGCAATGCACAGGGAGAAAATCTAGAAGTGAGATGCAGATGGGGGTGGGTTGGGACGAGCCCAGGGGCAGAGCGCTTGCCTAGCACGCATGGGTTCCAAGTTCTCACCCCAGCAAGGGGAGAGAAAGCGGGGCTACACAAAGCCCCTGCCTGGGTCTTCAGTGTTCAGCCTTCTTTGGGTCCCGGCTCCTTTTTTGCTGCTGGGGATCTGCGAGTCACCCTGGCCTCCTTCTAGCTCACAGCTGGCCTTCCTTTAAGCCACTCTGATCGGTTTCTGTCACAACAGAGGCATCTGGAAGCCTCCAGTGGCCTTTTCTGCATTCTCCTATTCAGGCAGGCTGGGATCAGTTCTGATTTTGTGCTACCCTGGAAGAAAGAAAGAGACCAGGGGTTGAGAAACCAGTCCTGATTTTCTTCCCAAGCCTGGTCCTGAGCCGTCCGACACATTATCTCATTGGCTTAAATGTGAGCATCACAATCCGTTCTCCAGTTCACAGAGGAGAGACCGAGGGTCACATAGAGTAAGAGATCGAGTTAGTGTAACCGGCTAAGGGGGCGCGGAGAGAGAGCTGGGGTTCACATCCAAAGTTGGTCTTGCCACATTCTTGACGGCCCATCTGGACTACCCCTTACCTGGCTTCCTGCCTGCAAGATGGGGTGGCACCGGCCCCCTCGCTCACTAGCTCACCAGCCCTCTCGTTCCAGAGGGGCGGAGCAGAGGGGCCTGAGTGAGTCCAGGGAGAGCAGCGTGCACCCTCCGCACGCATCACCCCGCCCTCGCCCGCCTCTCCTGCTCCTTAGCAACTGACTCAGAGCGGATGGAGGTGGGAAGAAAGGAGGTCACATGTAAATTGGTCAATTTGAGCAGCTTCACTGCAAAAGCCGGTGTGGGAGAGAGACACAGCTAATCCGAAGAACACAGTGGCTTTTATTTTTCAGAACTATGGTCTGTGGCCTTCCGCTGTCCGGGTAGCTGTGCCAGGCATCTCCTCCGAGTCAATGGCAGCCTGGGGCTTGGGTACTTCATAAAGTCTCAATAAAAATTTTTTTTTTAAAGGTATCATTTTCTCATCAAAGCAACTTGAAAACAAAATTTACCCAGAAGTTTTATATCCATGTAACGGGATATATTCGCCAGCAACCCAAAGAACCAGACAATGATACAAGTACCTACATGGATGAATCTGGATGAATCTCAAAAGCCGCTGGGCCCCAAGTCAGACTGAAAAGAGGATGCACCTACTGTCAGAGTTTTGCTAGGAGTATGTAAATCAATCCACCCATCCATCACCCATCCATCCATCAATGGTAAGAATTGCTAGTCCAAGAGCAATGTTTAGTCCTCTCTAATTTTTAAAAAATTAACCCCAGATGTAACTATTCGGTGAAAGTGAGAAGGGAGAGAGGACAGCCCTTCAGGCTCCTGCACCGCCCCTCTTTGTGCCGTGAGGCCAGAGAAGATGAGGAGCGATACAGTGGAGCGCTTGGTAGCCCTCCGTCACAGGCTGCTAAGGAGGAAGTGGTCTCTGGGCCACGGAGCCTGGGGAATGAGCCGGCCTCACACCAGCCTGGGAGGACGGGGAGGAGGGTGTTTGCAGACTCCAGGGAGAAAGCAGGCTCCTCTCTTGATGCTAGAAGAAATAACCACATTTTATTATTCGATAAGCACACTAAATGCCATCGGTGCAGAGTGTATGTTCCGCTACTCTGGTATCTGATGCTGTTAGATGAGCTTCAGGAATGCTCTCCTGGCTGACGTCACTTGGAGATAGTTTACAGGTGGGGCTTCCAGAGAACTCCCTCAAAGGTGCAGCCTCGCGGGTAGTTACGAAATAGGGACCACGTTGCAACAGACAATTCATTACCTGCTTTGGGTGCCTGGCATTTTATTATGCACCAAGCCCTATGCCAGTAAATAGACCCTGAAACACCACCTCAACTAGGTTGGACCTTATTCCATCCCACCAGCCCCCGGGTTCCTTGGCAGTCTGACAGAGTTGTTGGTGGCAAGTTTACTCCCAGCCCAGCATCCGAAGAGAAAGGTGCCACGGCACGAGCGGGGACAATGTGACGTCCCCAGCTGGTGACCCACAGGATGGCTGAGTGGCAGTGGCTGACACAGCAGCAGCCTCTCCCAGCTGGGAGGCAGGGGATGCAGCTTTCTAGGCCAGGGGTGGTCTTGCCTCCCAGGTGATGTTGGCAATGTCAAGACATTCGTGTCTCATGACTTGGGAATGCTACTAGTGTGCAGCCGGTGAGGCCAGGGACAAGTGACATCCCACAGTGCCCAGGACGGCTCTGCCACAAAGCAGCGCACTCCACATGTTAGCAGCTCACAGGGTGCAAACCCAGGCTGTGTCCACACCCTAGGTGCTATGCAAATGCAGGGGAGGCCGGAAGGGGCTGCCTCTTACAGGAAATGCTCTGAGCTTGACAGTGCTCCTTGTGGAATTTCTGTGACCCCGCTTTACAGTAAATCGGCCAAGGGTGCACAGCTGAGTATGGGGGGAGGAAGGGGGGTTCTGATTTACATTTTTGGGGTGGTGGTAATTTGGGGTGTGGCTTGCCCACTTGACTATGAAACCTGACACCACAGTACATGCCAGTGGGATCTACAGGACCTGACAAAGTCCCTGGCCCTCAATGAGGTGCTGATGAGCAGGTGTTAATGGAATCGAATGATAGAAAGAAAGAAAGAAAGAAAGAAAGAAGAAAGAAAGAAAGAAAGAAAGAAAGAAAGAAAGAAAGAAAGGAAACGAAAGAGAGAAAGAGGGCAGTGTGGTGCACTGGTTAGATGCAAGTACTACCATTAGCAAACCGACGGTTCTGAGCATGATCATGGCGTGTCTGCTTCAGGACAGTGTGTGGGGCTGGCGCTGACCTTACTGGCTCATGACAGTAGACTGTTAATTTTTCAGGAGTTTTGCAAGCTGGCTGTCAAACACCCCTTGAAAAAAAAATAAGTTATATAAAGTTACAACTAAACAGGTTCTATTTTTAAGATGGTCATAAAACTCATTTCCTAATTACCATATTCCATTCTGTTGGAATCTCTGGTCTCGAAGTTATTTATGTCTATTGGAAGGGTCACCAGACTGTCTAAGGGCCGGAGGGCGAACACCCATAGGTTTTGCAGTCTGGGGGCCAGGTCTGGCCGCTCTCCTGCGGTTTGCTGAGTGGGCTGCAGCTCTTCCTAGCTCTTCTAGGGCTTCGGCTGGACTGTTTACACCAGGGAAATGGTCAAGTGCTATAAATCAGGGCTTTGCTTTTGGCGGCCAGCTGGCTGTTACACATTTAGCAGCGCAACACTGGATAAAGCAGCAAGCGGCACTGGGATGCGCCCTGCCTGGCCCAAGGGTGCAGTGTGCCGGAGTTTATGAATGATGCCTGCGCCTTCCTGCTGCGCTGTACGCCTCTCAAGCTCAATGTCAAGTTCCTGTGGCAGGGGGGTAATTTGGGCGCATGACCCACCCATGGAAACTCGCTGGGCTTGTGCCTCCTCTAGACACGTGGGGGGCTGCTGGGTGGGGCTTCAGATGCCCTGGGCGGGCGGGGCTCAGCCCCATTTCTGGGTCAGGAATTTGGGACTGGGGCAGGGGACTCATCAACTACCTCTCCAGTGCCACCTAGGAGGAGAGCAAGCTTGACCACCTCGCACCGACACCAGCCTACCTCATGCGGCGACTTACTGAGCTGTGTTGTGGCTGGCACTTTCCTAAGCACCAGGGACTTTGTGACCTTGGACAGTCAATCACTGTCATACTGCTTGAGCCCTGGCGACGTGCAGGCACCGAGCTAGCACTCTCGGCTTCTACCTTCAAGGAGCTCTCCTTCCTGCAATGTTCTGGGGGCTCACTGATGCAAACTAGCGGGAAGGCATATTATTAGAGATGAACTCCACACCTTCCTCCTGAAGGCCTGCCCGGGAAAACGTAAAGGAAGACATTTTTAATGTCTTTTGAAATGGGCAGAAGAGTGGGAAAAACTTGGTTTTGGAGGTCAAATGGAATCTCCGGTTCAAATCTTGGTTGGATCCCCAATAGCGAGAGATGGGGATCACTCTTGAGATGGGGCTCACAATAATTCCCAAGCTGGCCGCGATGAAAGCAAGGGGAACAGGCATATACAGCCGCCAGTACGGGACCCAGCCTTTGGGTCCGAGCATTAGCATCCATCATGATACTGCTGCTTACTGGGGACGATGAACAGCCACCCCAGGTGGCACTGGGGGTGTCCCTAGTGGCCCCAGAAGAAATCAAGGATCTTTTGCATACTGGCTGATCTCCTCATTCTGCTAGAGTTTGGGATCCTCAATGGGTAGGGGGAAGTCCAGGGTATCCCTGAAGTGGACAGCAGCTACTCTGCCGGCCACCACGGCTGCTCCACTTGGTGACTTCAATGTGGCCCCCATCACCTTCCTGCTGGGTGGCCATGAAGGCTTCTCACTGAGTGCCTCCTTCTAGGTGACTCCTCTGCAGCCCTCAGCTGTGTGCTGCAGCCAGTGAGCTCCTGAAGACACCACATCCGTGTCACTCCCTCACTTCCATGTGGTGGCCCGTCACTGCTCTGGCCCCTGGGCCTGCGCTTCCTGGTCTTGAAGTTATTTGAATGTCTATTGGGAGGGTCACCAGACTGTCTAAGGGCCAGAGGGTGAACATCTATAGGTTTTGCAGCCTGGGGGCCAGGTCTGGCCGCTCTCCCGCAGTTTGCTGAGTGGGCTGCAGCTGCCAGCTCACCTCCAAGGCCTCTGTTTTGCCTTCCTGGGGCACCTGGAACCAGGTGGCAAATGAGTGGCTTCCTGCACAGGCCACGCCCCCTGGGGGCGGGGCCCTTTCGAGGGCCCTCCTCCTTCCCTGGAGCATCTGTCTCCTTCACCTGACTCCCAAAGACCTCCTAGGGTAGGAACATGTGCCCTCTAGCCATGCCACCTCCCCTCCAAACAGGTGCCCTCTTTTTGTTCCTGTAGCTCCATGCGAGGTGCGGTCATTGCTGTTACAGTGTCCCTGACCTTAGCTCCATGCAGAGTGGTTAAGTCCTGGGTTCTGCAGCCCGGGAAACTGGCCCGACCCTGAGTACCCCAGTGAGGCCAGGTGAGTCACCTAAGCTCTCTGTGCCCCATCTGCAAGAGTGGGTGATGGCAGTACCTATGTCAGGAGGTGGGGCCGGGCTGACGGAGTGGGTCCAGGGCTGTACCCACTTGGGTACTTGAGGACTGTACCTGGTCCCTAGCCCTGTCCCCATTGGCTCTCACTCTTCCTCTCTCTGCTTCCTAGCTGCCAGAGCTCAGCAGCCTCGCTCTGCTATCCCCTCCCCCCACCACATGACTGCTGTCACAGGCCGGCAAGCCGCGCAGCCAGCTCACCACGGACTGACGCCTCTGAAACCATGGGCCGAAACAGGCCTTCCCTCCTCAGAGCTGACTTTCTCAGGTATTGTGTTGCAGCGAAGCGGAAATGAACACACCCCTTCTCCCCTGATGGTTTCCTTAAGCCTGCTGAGGTTCAGGACTCAAAGAAAATGCCAGCAAATTGTGGAAAGCGTGTCTTACTTGGAGAGGGACACAGGGTGTGACCTAGCTTCCGCCTCGTCCCCAGCCCTGGCTGTCTGGTCTGGGGAGAGTGGGCTCTGGGGACTTCTGGGCTCCGTTCAAAATGCAACACCCCGCACACGCGAGTGTTCATGACAAAGGCACGTTGCTTAACCAGAAAGCAAACATGCAGGGGCTTTAACACCATTATCTGCAGCAGCGCCTGGAGGTGGAACACCAGGAAAGGCCTGCGTGGCCTCGGGTGCTGTGGCTGGTGATGACAGAAAGGGAAGGTTTCTGCTTCCAAATTGGGGTTGGTGACCGTGGTTCATTCCACAGCGGCCCTTCCAACACGATCCTCTCCTGATCCAGTGGGGGTCTGGGGATGCAGGGACACACGATCAGCTTTGATCTGAGGGGGGAAGTGAAGAGGCTGGAACTGCCCGTACAGCTGAGTGGGTGATCCCTGCGGGGAGGGGGGCTTTGTTACCTGGGTCCTACAAGGGCTGGCGAAAGGAGAGAGGCGGGGAGCCTGTCCCCTCCTTTCGGAAGGTTTGAGGCCATCCTCAAAGCCAGGAGAGGCCCGCAGAGGCGGACAGCCAAGGGCACATCTGCAATTCCAGGAAGCTGCCTTAGGGTCTCATCTGGCCAGCCAGCCGGGTAGCCGCCACCCCTCCAGCCCAGCGCTCGGGCGGCCACCTGGTCACACCTCGGCAGTCGCGTGATTGACTGATTTCCCTTCCGAGCCCAGCGCGTGCCGGCGCGGGTGTAGGGCGCACCGAGCGCCCCACCGCCCGATCGCCCGGGGCCCGCAGCCGGCTCGGCACCCGCC